CCCTCCCCCTCCCTTCCTCTTCCCCTCCTCCTCCTTCTCTTTTTCTTCACCTTCCTCCTCCTCTTCTTCCTCATCTGCCTCTTTTTCCTCCCCCTTTTTCTTTTTTAAATGATTTATGTTTATGAACATTGGTGTTTTGCTTGCGTATATATGTCTGTTTGTGGGTGTCAGATCCCCTGGAGCTGGAGTTAAAGACAGTTGTGAGCCATCATGTGTATTGAACCTGGGCCCAGTCCCTCCCGCCCTTCCTTGACTTCTATGTGGCCCTGGGAAAGTTCCGTGCCCTCTCTTGAGCCTCAGTCTCCTTACCTGTACCATGGCAGCCCCTCCTTTTCAGACTCCTGATAGGCTCAAATGTAGCCCCAGGTGGGTGGTATCATCTTAGAAAGATGTGGGGCTCACCCAGCTGTTGCCCCTGCCTGCCTGTCTGCAGATGAGCGGGGTAAGGACCACCTTCGAGCAGGCAAGCTCAACCTGGTAGACCTGGCCGGCAGTGAGCGGCAGTCCAAGACTGGGGCCACAGGCGAAAGGCTGAAGGAGGCCACCAAGATCAATCTGTCTCTGTCCGCGCTGGGCAACGTCATCTCGGCCCTGGTGGATGGACGCTGCAAGCATATTCCTTACCGGGACTCGAAGCTGACACGACTACTTCAGGACTCACTGGGTGGGAACACCAAGACTCTGATGGTGGCTTGCCTGTCTCCCGCTGACAACAATTACGATGAGACCCTCAGCACGCTGCGCTATGCCAACAGGGCCAAGAATATCAAGAACAAGCCACGCATTAATGAAGACCCCAAGGATGCCCTGCTTCGAGAGTACCAGGAGGAGATCAAGAGGCTAAAGGCTATCCTGGCCCAGCAGATGGGCCCTGGCAACCTGTCAGGTGGGACAGCCTGGGGTAGCAGGAGGGGGTGGGCCAAGCAGATTTCCCATTGAAATGCCCCTGCTTTCTCTGACTTCCACAGGCAGGTCCTTTGGCACCATTCAGCTCAGCATGCCCGATGGTAATGGCCCCTCTCTGCCTGTGGCCTCGGGAGGAAATCTGTCAGCTGCCTGGCTAGGGCTGGCTGGCATCTCCAGTCAGCCACAGCTCACAGCTCACACCCCACCTCAGGCTGTTCATCTGTCATCTACCTGTCTACCCGATTGTCTCCCTGGCTCAGTGGCAGGGACATGGTGTTCTTAGCCTCTGGGTGACTCACTTCCCCCCACCCCACCCCAGCACCCATAATCATGACTGTCATTTGCAGTTCACCGGGGAGGCATAGAAACTCAGGTCTGGATCGCAGGCCTGTGGGCTCGCAGAGACACCAGACTGTTCTGTTGCTCTGTCTCTTAGGAACAGTGAGCATAGGAAAGTCTAGCATCAGCCCCTTGGTCCTCAGGCCTACCTGGCTCTGTTGACCCATTCTGTACAGATCTCTACCCATTGCCCCACCCACCAGCCGCCCCTCCCTCTGCTCCCTCCTACCGACTCCATTGCCTACACAGCCCCTCCTCACCCACCCGTCCAGCATCCACCCACCCTCTTTCACTCCCACCCCCTTCTCCTATCCATTCACCCATTGGGATTCCATCCCCCATTCGTTCACATATCCAACCATTCAATCCTCCCGCCTACCCACAGTTCCCCTAGCACTTCTTTGTATGTAGACCAGGGCTGGACACTGGGGACACACATGGCTCAGACCCAGGCTGTGACTCTCTAGGAAAGAGGAGCAAATTTTAAGGAAGCTGGCCACACGGGCAGAGAGGATCCAAGCCTGTCTGGAAGGCTGGCATCAGTCAGACAAGGCTCCACAGAGGGTATAGTAGCTGAGCCCTGGGGCATGAGAATCATGTCTGCTAGGTCCTAGTGCAAAGTCTGAAGATTCCCCCAGACACCGCAGAACACTCATCTAACTCCACAGACTTCCGCTGGCTGCCTTAGGGCGGGGTGGGGAGGGGCGGGTGGTCAGGTAGAACATGGAGGAAGCAGCAGGATGCCCATCGTCCTTCTTCCTCCTTCCCTCTTTCCTGTCCTGACTGCACACTCCCAAGACTGGAGGAGGAATGGCAGGAGTGGATGCAGTCCTAGCTCCCCAGTGGGTCCCCAACCCAGCAGCTAACACAGCCCTCCAGAATGGGTGCCCTTCTTGGGTTAGAGCCCTGATGCTCAGCGGAGGGTAGCGGCTGGCCTTGTACCAAGTGCCGCTGAGATCAAGCGGCAGTCAGTAGTTCACCTGGTCTTGGGCCACGTGACCTATCCCCAGGAGCTTGTACCCCTTATCAAGATGGCGTCAGGACACCTGCCTAGCTTCTGCTGGAGGAGGAGGGGGAACCTCAGGAGACAACACGTGAGGGTGTAGCACCCATGTGGCCAGGGTCGGAGACCTTGTGTGTGAGACTCCCGAGCCTAGGTCACAGTACCATTGATGTACAGTGTGGCCTCAGCCTCCCGCTTCCCTCAGCTACTGCGTATTTCTTCTCTCTGTCCCTTTTGCAGGATGTGGTGTGTCTGTCTGCCTCTTCTAGCTACCTCAGTGGGCTCCTGTTTCTCTCCCTGACACCCTCCTCTCGCCCCTACTCCATGTAGGCCAGCCCCGTCAAATAGCCTCAATTTCATGGCCTCTACTGTGACCCTTCTCGAAACTCTTACTCTTGGGGCTGGAGAGGTGACTCGGTAGTTCAGAGCACTGGCTACTTTCCCAGAGGACCAGGGTTTGATTCCCAGCACCTGTAAGGAAGCTTACAACCATCTGTAACTAACTCCAATTCCAGTGGCCCTAGCACCCTCTTCTGGCCTCTGTGGGTACTAGACACACAAGTGGTACACAGACATACATATATAATGCTGGCACCATGCACATAACAACTCAATTAAAATGAATAAGTAAGCCAGGCATGGTGGCGCATGCCTTTAATCCCAGCGCTTGGGAGGCAGAAGCAGATGGATCTCTCAGTTTGAGGCTAGCCTAGTCTGTAGAGCAAGTTCCAGGACAGCCAGGGCTACACAGAGAAACCTTGTCTCAAATAACTACAACAAAATCAAATACATATACACACATACATACACACACACACACACACACACACACTCGTGTACACACACAAACATACATGTATATATTAAAGCCTGACTCTCCGGTTACCCTCTGCCCTTTGCCCACCTTCCCATACACTCCTTCAGACTTCCTCCCTGACATCAATGCTGACTGTACCCAGGTCTCCTGTGTCTTCTCCTGGTACTCAGAACAGAAGCTTTCAGAGCCTGGCCTTCCTCTCCTCTCTGTCCGCTGTCCCCATCACCCTAGACATCCCAGAGCAGGTCTGGACCCGCCATGGCCTTTCCACTCTCCTCCTCCTCCGTCTGGAAGCTCTTCCCCAACCTCTGCCTGACTCTGTCCTCTACCATCAGATCCAGCTCCAGCTGCTCTGCACTGAGGTCTTCCTGACCACAGTATCTGGGCCCTCATCAGTGTCTGAGCATCCTCCCTGCTTTCCTTTGTAACTGTTACATTTGCTCACTTTTCTTTTCTAGTGTATAGTGCGTGGTGGTGTGGCGGTGTGGCGGTGTCTAGCACTATGTCCTGAGTGTCCTGAACTCTCCAGTGACTGGTGGATTGCATTTTACATAGGGGTATATTTATGCTTGGTTCCTGAGTACTCACCCTCCATTCCTCCCGTCTCTTTCTCTCCAGCCCTGCTGTCCACTCAGACACCCCCAGGCCCAGTCCAGTCTGAGGAGAAGCTGCTGCCCCCCACTACTGTCCAGCAGGACACGGAGGCTGAGAAGCAGATGATCCGGGAGGTGAGACCCCAGCGAGCTGCCAGTGTAAAGGAGAGTGTGTCCCAAGGAGAGCCGGTACCTGCAGGGTGTCACCCCGCTTCACTGGGCCTGACACTATGGTGCCCACTTCGTTTCTGAGGAAGTTGGGGCTCAAAGACATGTCAGGACTTTTCCAAAGCTTTAGGGAAGACGGGAGTATTAAAGAGTTGGATCCAGCCAGGCAGTGGTGATACACACCTTTAATCCCAGCCAGAGTAAGTGAATCTCTGTGAGTTCGAGGCCAGCTTGGTCTACTGAGTGAGTTCCAGGACACTCAGGGCTACATGAAGAAACCCTGTCTCAAAAAACAAACAAACAAAACAAAACAAATAAGAATTGGACCCAGGATTTGAACTTGGGTTCCTGACCTAGACTACTGTTGATATCACAGTAGAACCTGTATGAGGAGAGAACTGGGGACCAGGGACATCCCCAAGAGAAGGTCTCCTTGGTAGTGCTGGGAAGTAGCTGGGTGCTAATGGCAATAGAGAGAGTGTCCCTTGAGTGGGAGGGCCCTTGGCAGAGGCCAGGCCGTCAGAGTGGACAGGAGCCTGTTTGCCTTTGGCACTGCAGCCAAGCCTGTGCCGGAGAGCAGCTTGGCCTGTTTAGCCTAGGGTGAGTGTAGCATCAGCATCCGAGTCATCACACTGGGTATCTCCCAGCATCCCGGGAAGCAGCAGGGCAGGAGATCTCCAGGGATACATACACAGGAAGACAGGGCAGGGATTTCCTCTGAATTCCAAGTTCTGTGGCCTTCCAGAGGCCACTGCCACTTGAAGACTGCCTGCTAGCTCTGCCTGGTGGCTTGACATTTGGAGGTCCCTGTGGGGAACTGGTTGTTCCCGAGGAGACCCTGATACTAGGCAGAAACAGTTTTTTGGAGCTCTGGCCTGGCTCCCAAGCCTACAGCTGGATCTCTTGCCTCTCAGCTATGACCTCAGTTAGGGGCCAGTCCTCGAAACTCTTGTCAGCCTGTGGGACAAGGAGCCTGCTTTGGTGGCTCCAGTCCTGGGAGCTCAGGCCTTTGGGATCATGTAGGGTGGGTCTGGGTATTGGGTTCATCTCTAGGACCCAAGCCTTGCCCTTAGTGGAGGTGACAGTAAGAAGAGACCCTCAGCCAAGCAGTGGTGGCGTACACATTTAGTCCCAGCACTACAGAGGCAGAGGTAGGCAGATCTCTGAGTTCAAGGCCAGTCTAATCTACAGAGTGAGTTCCAGGACAGCCAAGGCTACACAGAGAAACCCTTTATTGAACAACAAAGCCGAACAAAAACAAAAAACAAACAACAACAACACTAAATAAACAAACAAACAAAAACAGAAGAAGAGACCCTCTGGGGAGGACTAAGCTTATAGCACCACTCTAGGGTAGCAGTCCTTCCTATGTTAGGAGTGTTGGATCTCTGCAGGCAGCATTGACCAGGAGCCACACCCCAAGTGACTTGGAGTGGCTGTGGAGTGGCTGTGGAACCCTATAATGACTGATGGATTTGGGTCACAGATCCTCAGGGGAGAGGAGAACCAGATAATACTAGACTGGAACTCTCTACGGAGGCTTCCTTGTGGTCTGGTTGAATGTTGCCTCCCTCTAGTGGTCTCCAAGGAGAACACACCCACTGTAAGATACCACACGAAAGTGATAGGCGTTGCCCGCCTCTCCTGCCTGTAACCTAGGCCATCAGAGGTGTGGCTGTCTCCCCCACTTCCCTTCCATCCTCCTGTGCATCTTTCTCTTCTGAGTTATATTCTCTGAGTGCCTACTGTGTGCTGAGAACAGCATTCCAGGATAGTCAGACTTTAAAATGAAGCCCCTGTGTATACAAAAGGAACTCCTCTTCCTGGAGGCAGCTCAGCTGTGAGTGAGCTCCCGGCATGGCTCCGGGCTTCAGCCTCCAGTCAGACTGGGAGGTTTGGACTGGAGGGTTCCCAGGGTTATCTGGGTTTTCGTTGTGTAAGTCCTGTTTTGACAGGCTTCGTGGGCAGCAGATGGTTTGCGCTCTCTAGGCCAAGGTTTCGTTATCTGTAAAACATCCAGCATGGCAGCTTCCTGTTGTTTTGCACAGTCTGTACAAGGCTAAAAATCAAGGTCCCTTCTCACTACACAGAAGTAGGGGTCAGGGCTTGTACTCCAGCTTCATCTTCCCATAGCAAGCATGAACTGAGTGCCTGCTTGGGCCTGGGGCCGTAGCTGGGAGGCACACAGCCCTGGGCGTGGGGAGGGGTTGCTTTAAACACGGAAAAGGCCAAGACATGGAACTTTCAGCAAAGGTCCAGGACAGAGTGAGACAGGGGGTTTAGTATGTAGAAGCCATGGAGGGAAACCTGAAGACACACCGGATAGTCCTCAGGGGGTGTGCATGCTGGTGACGACGTCGCCCGGCAGCAACTCTCTAAACGGACTAATGGAAGCAGAAAGGATGAATGGCAGAGAGTGGCCCAGTTAGTCAGGAAGGCTCTATGAGCACCAACTTGCCAGGGAGTAGGGTAGAGCCCCTGAGGCAGGAGAGAAGTGGGTGTTTCTGGGTGAAGCAAGTTACCAGAAACCCAAATGTGCTAAGATGGTGACGATGACGATGACGATGACGACGATGATGATGATGACGATGATGATGATGATTGTGATGATGATGATGATAGGTAGAAGTAGTAGTAGTAAATTAAAACAACAAACACAGCGGGGAAGGGCCGAGGGTCCAGACTCTGAGCACCGCCATTGCTTAGTGTTACCAGCCTCTCCCTCACTGTGACAGAGTACTGTGACACTGATACAAACACCTTTCAAAATGAATAATCTGTTTGGCTGACTTATGGGATGGTGTGGTCCATCGTCAGGGCAGGCATTCCCCTATTCCTCAGGCCTGTCTGGGACCATCCTCACGGGTAGAGGTGTGTCTTCTCCCTAACCTGGGTGCTTCTCAGTCTGTTCAGGTTGGAAGCTATCAACTTCATTTCTGTTGTGAGAAAATACCCTGACAGAGAGCAGCTTATGGGAGAAAGGGTTGAGTTTTGCTCACAACTCCAGGTTTCACTCCATCGTTTGGCGGAAGTCAAGGCTGGAACCTCAAACAACAGTCATCTCCCATCCACAGTCAAGAGTGGAGAGCTGTGAGCACAGGCGAAGCACACTTGCTTGCTTTGCCCAGCTTGATTACACTTATACATTCAGGTCTTCCTGCCTAGGGAATGGCGCCACCCACAGTGGGCTGCATAAGTAACATCATCAAGGTAATCCTCCACAGACAAGACCACAAACCAACCCAGTGTAGACAGTCCCTCACTGAGACTCCTCCTAGGTGAGTCTAGGTTGTGTCAAGATGGCAGTTAAATCTGAGCATCACAACAGTCAAGTTGGCAACCATTACGCCCACCATGCATGAAGACCTGGGTGCCATACTCAGCACAGAGAAAAACAGCACAACAACAACAAAAACTTGTTAATTTTAAAAGAAGGAGCTGGAGCGATGGCTCAGTGGTTAAAGGTACTGATTATTGTTCTAGGGGGGCAGGGTTCAATCCCCAGTACTCCTAAAGTGGTTCACACCATCTGTGACTCCAATTCCAAGGGAGTCCAACACTCTTTTCTGGCTCATGTACATAGTGCACAGATCTACCCACAGGCAGAACACCCATACACTTAAAATAACGTGAAACAATAATTGTAAAAATGAGAAGAAGATGTCCAAGGGCCACCAGCGTTCCATCACATGGGGACTCAGGTTCGTTCAGTCAAGGAGTTTAGACTATCCATGAACCTGGAAGTCCCCCATCCTGGAAGTCCACCATCCTGGAAGCCCCCCATCCTAAGCAGAGCATGTGATGTTAAGGGGCGGGCAGCAGCAATGTGGGCTGTTGCTGAGGTTGGAGCAGGCGTAGATGTGGGGCCAAGCAGGATGCTACTGAGACAGAAGCAGATGCTGATGAGACAGCAGAGATGGAGAGGGAAGCGAGTGGTGGTGCACGCCTTTAATCCCAGCACTTGGGAGGCAGAGGCAGGTGAATCTCTGTGAGTTTGAGGCCAGCCTGGTCTACAGAGTGAGTTCCACAGAGAAACCCTGTCTCGAAAAACCGAGGGGGGAAGGGGTGCACTTGAGTACCACAGGTGGATCTGTGGCCTAGATGAGGGAAGGCGTTCGTGACATAATGCAGTGTGGAAGAGTTAGATCTAAACACTCGTGGAAAGCATTAGTCCATTACAACTCCACAGAGAATGGACAGAGGGCTGTCGCCAGAGAACTGTCACCTCCCTGTGACAAAGGGACTTTTACCTCATTCTCCCCTGCATTGTCTGAGTGTCCAGAACTGGAGGTCAGTTGTGAAGGCCGGTTCTGAGTCGGGGTAACTAACCACCTCGTGTCTCTCTCCACCCCAGGAGTATGAGGAGCGCCTGGCCCGCCTAAAAGCTGACTATGAGGCAGAGCAAGAGTCTCGGGTCCGGCTGCAGGAGGACATCACCGCCATGCGTAACTCGTATGATGTGAAGCTGTCCACGTTGCAGGAGAATCTGCGAAAGGAGAAGGAGACAGGTTTGCTCTGCCCTGGGGCAGCACGGGAGCCCACCGCCTGTTTTCCCTCACAGATGGCTGAAGGGTCCTCTGAGGTAGAGGACCAGCCAGGCAGGTCCCACAGTTGCCCTCCACCTATAGATGAAGAAATAGGCCCAGAGACAATAGGTAACTTGCCTTTGTCCACGTAGCTGGGCAGTCTGGGCCCAGAGCTGATATTGTCACACAACACTGGTGTTCTGTCTACAAGCTAGGCCACCTCTGGGCTTATTAGAGGAAGAAAGGATCCCATGCTCGAGAGGTCACTTCCTGTCCCAAGTTTCTGCATTTGCTAGTCGCTTACCGTTGAGCCCCTGCTACCAAGGCAACCACATCCTGTGAGGATCCAGTCGTTAGCAGGAACAGAAGTTTCTAGGATGTATAATTCAGCCACCCATGCTGCTGGGAGCCAGCTAGCTTCCTGCAGTTCACCATGGGCTGGCAGAGCCCGGCTGGGTGTGTGGTCTGTACTGATGGCGGGGGTGCTGTGTGCCTGGTGCTGTGGGGGTGGGGGCTTTACTTAAAACCTTCCCCCTATTTGGTAAGGTTAGATACTCTGGATCCTCACATAGCAGGTGAAGGAATTGGGGCCAAGGCAAGGCTCTGTGTGTGCTGTGTGTCAGCACATGGAATCTGGACCCCCTTAGGGGAGTCCAGGACACAAGTGATGAAGAAATGGATGAAGTTTGGTGATGATGGTGCACACCTTTAATCCCAGCACTCGGGAGGCAGAGGCAGGTGGATTTCTGTGAGTTCAAGGCCAGCCTGGTCTACAGAGTGAGTTCCAGGATAGCCTGGGCTACACAGAGAAACCCTGTCTTCAAAAAATAAAAAAGAAAGAAAGGAAGGAAGGAAGGAAGGAAGGAAGGAAGGAAGGAAGGAAGGAAGGAAGAGAAGGAAGGAGGAAGGAAAGGGAAGGAAAGGAAAGGAAAGGAAAGAAAGGAATGATGGTGGAGGGGGTGTAAAAGAGAGACTAAAGGTGTGAACTGGGAGCGAAGCCTGCCCAGCTGGGGAAGAGAGACCCCACTCCTCAGAGAGACCCGAGGCAGAGGGAAACATGGCTGCCTGCATCTCCTGCATCTCCTGCATCTCCTGCATCACACAGCCCTCCAGTTTGCATATTAAGCCTCCGTGAAGTCTCTGGTTTCTGGAGCTCTGACATTCAGTCAGCATTCATTTCTTCCAGGGCATCTGGAAGAGCTGGTAGACACGAGCCCTGATCTGCACTAGAGGAGGATCTTGGGGTCTTAGCTGAATGGTCAGATTTTAGGGGTCCTCAGCCTTGTAGACATGTAGGGTACCCTGCTCACATGGAAGAACCCAGCCATCAGTGGGTGAGGGGTTAGAGGATGGAGAAGCGCCAGTGCTACTCAGGGACGGCTTCCTGGAAGAGGGGGTGAGGGCAGGATCAGGTCCGAGAGAGGAGGCCATAGGGCAGGGATGGATGGCTGGAAACTGTAGCTGGACTCTGGGGATCTTCAGGGTTCTGACTTAAGCTGGTCTTTGAAACACAGTGGGTGTAGGGCCCCCTTCCCCTTGGGAGACTGCAAGATGTTCTTGTTCACTGCAGAGGCCGTTCTTATGGCGGAAGTCCTGTGTAAGACAGAGGTCATGTCCAGGGCCGAGTTAGCCAGCGGGCCCGAGTACTCACCTCCTTTGCAGTACGAGACTGCAGTGAAGCCCACCATCCTGTCCATGCCTGACATGCAGCCCAGTGGCGAGGTCACCAAGAGCCAAGCTCCCCCCGCGTTTGAGGAGCCCCTTACGGAGCTCTCCCGGTCAGAGGTTTCTTTTGAGTCCAATGAGTCATCCACTCTGGAAGACTCCTCCATGTCAGAGGCCTTCCCTGGACCTGAGGAGCTTTCCAACGTTGAGTTCTCCATGCCCGGGGTGCTGGCTGAGAGCAGGTACTTCCCTGATGAGTATCTCGGCCCAGAGGCTACTGCATCTCTGCTGGAGACAGAGCACTATGCCCGGGAAGATGAGCCGTCACTGGAGCCCCTGCGGATACTGGCAACCCTGCAAGATCCTTTTGCTGAAGTGGAGGCCAAGCTGGCCAGACTGTCCTCTACTGTGGCCATGACGGACTCATCCCAGACGGTCGTCCCCCAGATTCCCGAGCAGGCCCCTGAGCAGGTAGCTAATGTTCTATGGAGCAGTCAGGATGGACTGGGAACACAGGGGTCACTGCACATTCGGGTTCACTGGCCTCTGCTGCTCAGCGGTGCCCACCCGTGTCCTCCATGTCCTGTTTGGGGACCCTGCTGTCCTGTGGTCTGGAGAGGAGATACTCTGTCAGACACACACTGTGAAAGCTGTGATGGAGACCCCAGGTTGTTAGATGAGTATCTGTTGCTTTGGCAGGGCACCTGTGTGTGGAGAGGAGGGTGGGACGCTAAGTTACTGTAGCCAGCCTGATCTCCCAACCTAACAGAGCTTAGGGGCCTGGGGGTACTTTTCAAGACCACAGGGCTTGGGATTCCTTTTTTTTTCTTCCTATTTTTCTGTTTTCCTCATGTGAGCACATGGGTGCACATAGGCACACACACATAATCACACAGGCCTTTGAAATCCCAGCTTATACATCACGATGGAACATCGGCCATTTGCCTCTCTAGGCCACGGTTTCCTCCTTTGAACAGTAGAGGTTCTGATATGTGCTCTTTCTGAGCTAACATGGAACGTGTCCCTGGACACCATAGACACTCGCCTGTGCCCTCTCTCTCCCTGTCACCTTTTTACCCCAACAGCAGGCAGAGGAAGCCACGGGAAGGCAAGGTGAAGTGGGCATCAGGGAAGTGAGGAGGTAGAGGAGATTTCTGACCCAAACATCCCCCTTTTTCCTCCCCCATTTCTCTCCACAAGCAGCCATCCTCCACTGATCTGCTGGAGCCCGGCGACATCAAGTCAGAAGCTGATGTGGCTGACAACGTCCTCCTCAGGACTGTGAGTACCTGCCTGGCCCTCCCAGTGCCTGGCCCTCTCAGTGCCTGGCCCAGCTCTCTGGCTTCCACCCTCCCTAGGCAGGTGGCCCATGGCTGAGCAATGTTTAAACAGAGGATTGCCACGCAGTGTATCGGCAGTGTGACTAGGAGGCCTTCTGTAGTTAGCGGCGTTGGAGGCCACTGTCTTAAAGGAGCAGAGGCAGGGCGTGGAGGTAGGACAAGGGCTACAGGAAGGCCTGGTGGCCCTAAGACACTGCCAGTGACCTCCTGTAGGCCTGTTATACCCGATTTGGATACCCTTTGTCTTCTGCTTGGGACAAGGCATAAGACAAGGGGAATGAGAGGAGGCCGCAAAACCTTTTCATGTTTAGGGAGAGCAGTTATAAGCCTGCAAGCTTCTAGGCATGGTCACAGGGCTGGGTGTGGTGGTAGGTAGCAGACAAAATGGTGGGAGACCCCTACTAGGAGGTGAGACAGAGGCAAGGAGGAAAAGCTGGGAGGAACGTTTCTTTTTTTGTAACTTTTTCTTGATTCTTTCTGAATTTCATATCATGTACCCCAATCCTACCCATCTCCCTATCCGTTTATCTGCCTTTCCACCCTTGCAACCTCCCCTGCAAAAGAGAAAGAATGGAAGGAAGAAAGAAAGAACAAAAAAATCTTGCCTTGGAAGCTGCGGTGTGTCACTGTGTGTCACCCACCATGTGTAACTGTGTGTCTCACAGTACACTCTTTTGTCCACACATCTTTACTTGCAAATGTTCACTGCAGTGAGTCACTGGTCTGGCTGAAGGTCTCTCGTTTCTGCCATATTATCAGTACTGGATCCTCACTGGGACTCTGCTTGGATATCCTGTTGTCCTGTGTCATGGAGATCCTGTGGCTTAGGATCTGCAGGACTGGCTCTTTCATATCCTCCAGCTGTTCATTGATGGGGTGGATGTTGGAGTGGGCCAGCTCAAAGCCTGAGAGGCATCTGAGTCGATAAGATTGCCGGTTCTCTGGCAACCACACCACTAGGGCTAGCTCTACTGTGCTGCCCAGGTGAGGGGTAGGGCCTGCTTTCCCGAGTTGTGCAGCCAGTGAGAGACAGGGCCATTGGGAGAAGCATTTCTTTTTTTTTTTCTTTTTTTTTTTTTCTTTTTTTTTTTTTTTTTGGTTTTTCGAGGCAGGGTTTCTCTGTGTAGCCCTGGCTGTCCTGGAACTCACTCTGTAGACCAGGCTGGCCTCGGAAATCCACCTGTCTCTGCCTCCCAAGTGCTGGGATTAAAGGCGCTCACCGCCAGTCGGGAGAAGCATTTCTTACCAAAGGCTTTCTCCACAAGACACCAAGGCCCCCCAGGGGGCACAAAGGTGGACAGGTGGGGTGCAGAGGATAGTTGGGAGAAACACAGCATAGGCAGTGTCCAGGGAAGAGATCAGTTTCCTGGGGATGAATTTTCATGGGCAGCAATGGAAGGTTCTGGAGTGGAAAGGGATGCTATGGTCAGTTTTCCTGCCTGCCTTGGTGATGGATTAGGGATCTCAAGAGTGGAGGCTGGGAGCCCATTTGGGGTGTTGGTGAAGACAATTGTAGTAAGAATTCGTTTGAGTGCGGGAAATTGGTTACAGCTTGCTTCAGGTCGCATTCCTATTGTGTTACGGCCATTACATACAGACATCTGAGCCTTTTCTCTTTTCATTTGCATATGCATGCGTGTACATGTTTTGCATGTGTGTGGGCCCATGTCTGCTGGGGCACATGTATGTGGAGGCTCACATACATACATGTGTATGTGGGAATCCTCCCTGATCATTCCTTGTTCATTGAGGCAGGGCCTCCCATCCAACCTCAGCGCTCACCCCACGGCTGCTCTCTGGAGCCAACTTGCTCTGAGGTCCCCTGTCTCCTGTTTTCAGAGTCTGGAATTACAGGGGGTGTACATGGGTTTTGGGGTGTGGGGGGAGTGAACTAGGGTCCTCGTGCTTCTATGGGCTGTAACCACTGAGCAATCTCCCCAGCTCCTGGCACATGGGACTTTTGGAGCACCCTGGAGCTCAAAACTTTTCAGATTTCTATGCACATTGGGTTTTAGGGTTTTGGGTTTTCTATGCACTTTGGGGTTAGGGGTGCTTGGCCTGCATGTCTAAGCCGGGGTGAACTGTGCAGGCTCATTCATGTCCCCTTCCCATCTTGTCTCCCTGCGACCAGGAGCCTGATCTAAGCCTGAAAGTGGCTGAGGAGGTGGTATCTGAGGCGGAGACTGGGGTGTGGCTGGAGTCTGAAGCCCATGTGGCCCAGGTGGCCCAGGTGTCTGAGGAGGCCCAGCCTCAGCCTTTGCTGGCCATGGCAAGCGTGAGAAGGGAGAGTGTAGGTGTGGAAGTGGCTGTGTTGACCGAGGAGCTGCAGCCTGTGGATCAACAGCAGGTGCTGGCCCGGTGAGCACCAGGGGTCAGGGGTCAGGAGCCTAGGGGATGATGGGAAAAAACCCTGGCCAAGGTTGGAGGTTGAGGAGTTATAGCCTGGGCTGGGGTGAGGTGAGATCCACTTCTCACCCTCTACTGAGCCCACACTAGGCTGCTCCTCCACTGTAAGAAGGGCAGTGGGGCAGGGGAGGTGCCACAGCAGGCCAGGTGCCACAGCAAGCCAGATGCAAACTGTGGCACACCACCCCTATGCTGATAGAGTGCGGCCATGAGCCTGCTCCGCTGCAGTATTGGGAGTGGCTCAGCCCTGAGCAAGCAGCCCCAGCTCTTTGCACCTCACTTGTACCACTCTGTAAAGTGGATTGTGGGGAGCAGGTGGCAGGTGCCAGCGGGCCAGCGGGATCTGTGACACTTGCTTTCTCCTCCTGGCTGCAGCTTGCAGATGCTGGAGCAGCAGGTGGTGGGGGGCGAACAGGCTAAAAACAAGGACCTGAAGGAGAAGCACAAGCGGAGGAAGCGGTATGCAGATGAGCGCAAGAAGCAGCTGGTGGCCGCCCTGCAGAACTCAGATGAGGACAGCGGGGACTGGGTGCTGCTCAATGTCTATGACTCTATCCAGGAGGAGGTGCGGGCCAAGAGCAAGCTGCTGGAGAAGATGCAGAAGAAGGTGAGGCCCTGTCTGGCTCGGGTCCCTGGCTCCACGGCCCAGCCAGGCATCGGCATGCCTTGCTAACAGCTGGTGACCCTGTTCTTCACACAGCATTTATTAAGTGTCTGCTGTGTATCTCTTCTGCTTCTCCAGGAGAAATGTCTGAATAGGGCATGGTGGCCAAGGCTGGGGTGGTGTGGTTGAAAGCCATGGGTTTTGCAGGTCTGTGGATACAGGAAGTACTTATTACATGCTGGAAGGGAGGGTGGTGCCTGTCCAGTCAAGGCTCAGATGCTAGACAGTGTCAGTGGGGCAAACTGGGGAGCCATTGTTGAGGAGCTGCTGGGGGCCAGTCTGGGGATAAAGCTGGCAGCCAGGAGCTGCTCACCACTGGTTGCTTCTCCTTGGCTCAGCTCCGGGCAGCAGAGGTAGAAATCAAGGACCTGCAGTCAGAGTTCCAGCTGGAGAAGATTGATTACCTGGCAACCATCCGCCGGCAGGAGCGGGACTCCATGCTCTTCCAGCAGCTCCTGGAGCAGGTGCAGCCTCTCATCCGCAGAGACTGTAACTATAGCAACCTGGAGAAGATACGGCGAGAGTCGAGCTGGGATGAGGATAACGGCTTCTGGAAGATCCCAGATCCCATCATACTGAAAACCAGCCTCCCAGTAGGTCAGGAGCTCAGCTGCCCCGCCTCCCACCCCCACCCTGCCCCTTGGACAGCTGGCCACCTTGTGGAGGGACAAAGCCGCTCTTCCTGCAAGCGGTGGGTGCATCCCACATGCTATCCCTGAGGAAGTGTGCTGTGGAGACAGACAGTTGTGTGCGTGTGTGTGCGTGTGTGTGTGTGTGTGTGTGTGTGTGTGTGTGGAGAGTCACCTCTGTGACACGAGGATAATGAGAGCCCCTTCCTTAAAGCGGCTGTGAGCCCTGTGGTGTGCTCAGGCACATAAACACCTCAGAGTGCTGCCTGGCACAGAATGAGTGCTTGGTTCTGTCACCGCTGACACGTCCTTTGACAGTCTCACAAAGGATCGTGATTAAAACCGGATCTCAAAACCATGCGCAGTCATGCGTGCCTCTCATCCCAGTATTTGGGAGGTAGAGGCAGGAGGATCAGAAGTTCATCATTATTCTGGGTTTATGTGAGACCCTACTTCAAGAGTGATGCAAAACATGGCCTGGATGGGGTGGCTCAGTGGTTAGGAGTACATGCTGCAGGGGCTGGAGGGGTGGCTCTGGTTAGGTACATGCTCTTGCAGAGGACCAGAGTTTGGTTCCTGGTACCCACACATTGCACACTGCCAGTAACGTCTGCTCCGATGGAGTATGGCTCCCTCTTCTGGCCTTTGTGGGTACCAGGCATGTGCATACTGCACATACGTACTGGCAAAACACTCACACATGAACTGAAGATAAACTAGTAAATAAAACCATGAAACAGGGGCTGGAGAGATGGCTGAACAGTTAGAAACACTGGCTGCTCTTCCAGAGGACCCAGGTTCAATTCCCAGCATGCATAACTATCTGTAACTCCAGTTCCAGGGGACCTGACACCCTGATACAGACATACACACAGAAAAAACACTAATGGCCATTAAAAAACAAACCGAGACCATGAAACTAAAGCAAAGAAAAATGAAACAGTCTTTTTTTTTTTAAAGATTTATTTATTTTATTTATATGTGTACACTGTAGCTGTTAGACCAGAAGAGGGCATCAGATCCCATTACAGATGGTTGTAAGCCACCATGTGGTTACTGGGAATTGAACTCAGGACCTCTGAAAGAGCAGTCAGTGCTCTTAACCACTGAGCCACCTCTCCAGCCCAAAATGAAACAGTCTTACGGGCCCACATTCACAGCCAGAGCCGTGAGTTAGACTAGGACCATAGAAACCAGCTGTTCAGGTTCAGCCTCTGCTTTGGCCGTTGACTTCCTGTGTGATTTTGATGAAGATCGCTGCCTTCTGAGCGTTGGATGTGGTGACTTTGAGAACCCATCCAGCTCTGATGAATCTCAGAGTAAAGTCAGATTTTCTGTGGGTCATCTTCCAGCTAGACATAACTGTGGTCCTTTCAGAAGTAGGGGTGTGCTTGTGTGCATGCACACGTGTTTGTGTGTGTGCATGTTCCTGCATGTGTTCATGCGTGTGTGTGTGTGTGTGTGTGTGTATACTTCCACTTTCTTGTATGGCACCCTGCAGTCCTCTTTCTGGTCCGTGTCCATTCATGCCTCCATCCCTGAATTGATGGGTAGCCACAGATGCCTGTCATCAACTAAAACTCCAGCCAGCTCCGTTTCCCATGAGCTCTGGATGGCAGCAGCCTCCCCAGTCATTACCTGGTGTCCATCAGGAAGGAGTGATGTTGCTTCCTATAGCTGAGTCCCCTTGTCCTCATCCCTTGACTAGGCTGGGAAGTACCCCTTGTTTGCTGCCTCCAGCCAGGCCTGACCCCCACCCCAGGCAGGGCTGTTCCTTGGGCACCCTCCTTCTGGCTTCTCAGGTTCTATTTTCTCATAGCAGTTCCAACTGGGGCACAGAACAAGCAAGCTAGAAAAACCTCTGCAGTAGACAGTGGCGAGCCACACATGGTAAGGCCCAAGGGTTGGAGTGGAGGGTTGGGTGGGGGTGGAGGTACCTACAAAGTGTGTCGGTGAAGCCTCAGGATGCTTTTGCCTTGCCTGGGGATGAAAGCCAGGAGCTGGGCCTGGACCTGTTTCCACTACTGTCAGGCACCTGGACCCCTAGGTCCCGAATTCAAAATGACAAAGGAAGAGTCTATTCCAACCAAACACATACTAGGGCAGCTCATGGTGGCTGCCTATGGTGTCTCATGCTGGCCTAAGGCTGCATTTACCTCAGTGGCTTAACTTCCTAAGAAAGAAAAAGCTTTAAACATGTTTAGCCTGGGACTTCAGAGAGATTATATCAGAACATACTTAGTTTCAAGTGGTAGATGCCGGTCAACCCAAAATAGAAACCTCCCTGATCCACATTAGATGGATCAGGCACGCAGGCATGGCTCGATCTAGGGGCTCAGTTGGCTCTGTGTCGGGCTTTGCCCTGTATCTTTGCCTCTGAGCTAGCCAGCTATGGGCTTTCTTCCCAAGATATGGGGTGGGGGGAGATGGGGGAGGAATGGCTACTGGCAGCTACAATGCCAGTGGTTCTTAACCCGTGGGGTCCAGACCCTTTTTTGGGTTTTGAGTGACCCTTTCACAGGGGTTGCATATCAGATATCCTACATTTCAGTATTTACACTGTGAGTCACAACGGTAGCAAAATCGCAGTTACAGAGTAGTAATGAAATAATTTTATGGTTGGGGGTGACCACAACATGAGGAACTGTATCAAAGGATCCCAGCTTTAGGGAGGTTGAGAACCACTGCCTTAAGCCATTGTTACATCAAAGCTTGTAGAAAGACTGGGATTGGCTCTGCCGGGTCACATGCCTACTCGTGGACCAGTTCCTACATTCATACAGATGTAACTCTGTGGTTGGTGATAGCCTGGATCCTACAGCTGGGCCTGGGACTTCTCTCCCACCTGGATGGGGAGAAATAGCTACCCAGTGTAAACCATTCCGACTAAGGAAAGCTAGCTTATTGTGGCCATTTTGAAAAAGAATCTTCCCAGGAGAGGGAAGGGAAGAAGTATTGGCCACAAATGTAGCTTACGTTCGAGTTCTTGCTGTTGTTTTGTTTTTGCATTGTGTGTACATGGAGGGACTGAGGCCATGTATTTCTGTCACCCTTGCCCATGGTGAAGCTGGAGGGAGGTACATGTACCTCCCATCTCAAGGAAAGGGAGGGGAGGCCGTGACTTCCCCACTCCAAGCTGCCTGGGTCTCCACCCTGAGAGTCCTGGGAGTGACCCCAAGAGATGTCTAGCACCAAATGGTGCCACGCATCCCCAGAAGCTCTTGAGCAGGGGTAGGCCCACAGTGGCTGTCACTCATGAGGTTCTGAAATCTCAGCAGGAGGAAGACAGGTATAAGCTGATGCTGAGCCGAAGCGACAGTGAGAATATCGCTAGTAACTACTTCCGGTCCAAGCGGGCCAGCCAGATCCTCAGCACGGATCCCATGAAGAGCCTCAGTGAGTATCCCGCCTGCCGGGGGTTTCCCCTCCTCCACACCCGCTGGGAAATATGCCACACGGATGATCTGGGATTCAGGCACGAAACCCTCCCCCATGCAAGCCTCAGTTTGGTCAGCTGTGAGCTGAGGGGTATGGCACCCGCTTCTCAGGATCAGAGGAGACATAGGGCCACATAATAAGATGTCATGGTAGTCAGTCTTTACTGTTACGATGAAGGCCTGAGAGAAGCTCCTTAAAGGAGTGCCGGGAACATGGCTCAGTTGATAGAGTACTTGCCTGGCCTGTACCAGGCCACAGGTTCAATTCCCAGCACTGCGTAAAACAGGCTGTGATACTTGCCTGTAATCCCAGCTCTTAGGGAGTGGAAAGAAGGGGCTGAGAAGGTCAAGCTCACTGTTGGCTACAGAGAGAGTTTGAGGCCAGTTATGTGAGACCCTGTCTCCAAAGAAGAAGGGTTGAGAGACTGGTTTGGTCCTACAGCTTCTACTTTGGATGAGAGGCTGAGGGGGAGACCATGGTAGTGGAAACCTGCTTAGCTGCTCACATCATGGTGGCCACTATGGTAACCATGGTAACCAGTAAGCTTTTAATATGGGCTTCCCCACTCTGCTTTTCTGATCCATCCAGACTTCTAGCCTATAACATGGTATTACTCCCTTCAGGGCATGTCTTCCTTCTTCATTTGCTACCCCATAGACCACTCTACTCTGGAACCTACCCTCCCACGCAGACACACTCAGAGATGTGTGTTGCAGGGCTCTTAATACAATCAAGTTGATAAGATTAACCTTCACAGGGACTGAGAGTTGGCTCAGTGCTCAAGTGGTTAAGAGGACCTGGGTTTCGTTCCCAGCGCCTGCATGGTGGTTCACCACCATCCATAACTTCCTGTTCCAGGATCCAGTGCCCTATGTGACCTCCTCGGACATTGCACACATGTTGTGCACACACATACATACAGACAAAGACACTCATACACACAAAACAAATGTAAAGTTTTTAAAGATGAACCTCAGTATGGACTCTTCCTGTGTGCTCAAAGGGAGGGTCTGTTTTTGACACGGGAACAGGCCCTTGCATGGGGGTGCATACGTCAGGCATCCTCAGAATCTTTTGTCCCCAAAGGAGGCTATGCCAAGGAGCAGAAAGGTCCCCACTGCAAAAACAGTTCCGAGAATTAGAAAATCACTTCATTCTTCTCTCAAAACTAAAAACGGGCTGGTGGAATGGTTCACTGGATAAACTGGGATAAAGGTGCTCACCTCCAAGCCTGAGGACCTGAGTTTGATCCCCAGGCCCCTTGTGGAGAAAGAGAGAGAGCTAATCCCCACAGGTTGTTCTTTAACCACTACACAAGCACTGTGGAACAAACAAACAAATGAACGAATGTAACAGAATTTTGGAAAAACAGAACCCACAGGGCTTCCAGTAAAATATCCATTAGAAGCAAACCTTAGGGCTGGAGGGACGGCTCAGTAGATAAGGTGTGAGCTGCTCTTGCAGAGGACCAGGGTTTTTAGTTCCCAGCACTATGGCAACTCATAACCCTCTGTAACTCCTGTTCCAGGGGATCTGCTGCCCTCTGCTGGTCTCTGCAGGCACAGCACACACATAGCACACACACATACGTCCAGGCAAAACATCTATACCATAAAAAGTAAATCTTTTTAAAACTGACGTTAAATTTTTTTTAGATTTATTTATTTATTATATATGAATACACTGTAGCTATCTTCAGACACACCAGAAGAGGGCATCAGATCTCATTACAGATGGTTGTGAGCCACCATGTGGTTGCTGGGATTTGAACTCAGGACCTCTCTGGAAGTGCAGTCAGTGCTCTTAACCACTGAGCCATCTCTCCAGCCCACGTTAATTTTTTTTAAACTTTCTAAACAGAAATCAGAGACAGAGTAAGTGAGGTTGAGTAGGAAAGGGAAGATCAGTGAAGTCCCTGAGGGGCTGCCACTGTGCCCAAGTAACAGATGAGGAAACTGAGGCTTAAGAGCTGACACTGGTAGGAGATGCTGGACTGCTCTTGGTGTGCAGGCTTCTTCTCTGCCTTAGGCACTAGGCTGAAGCCTCAGTTAGAGGCTTTAAAATCAATTCCCTACCCTAGACCCTTCGGACACAGAAGTGATACTAGGTCTAGGTCTGAGGTCCCAGCAGAGCAGGCTTAGAGGAGTCCCAGCTGCAGAGCGAGGGTCTCAGGTGGGCAGGTATTGCCAGACCCTCTGCCTTCCACGGGTGGTGCTGTCTTGGCTCACTGGTGCCCTCTGCTTCTTCTCCATAGCGCATCACAACTCACCACCGGGGCTCAATTCCTCTCTGAGCAACAACTCTGCCCTGCCGCCAGCCCAGACCCCTGAAATGCCCCAGCCCCGGCCCTTCCGCCTGGAGTCCCTTGACATCCCCTTCTCCAAAGCCAAGCGTAAAAAGAGCAAAAGCAGCTTTGGCGGTGAGCCTCTGTGATCCAGCTGCCCGCTGCCATCTGCTTTCAAGTTTCTAGAAACTTCCAAGTCCTCTCTACGAAGCCCCAGCCAGGCCTCCTCTCTCCTACTCCACAGCGTCCCCAAGCCCAAGGGGATCTTAGCCCTGGGAAGACACATTTCCTCCCCTGTTCCCTAGAGAACTCACTCTGGCCCAGGGCCTGAGCTTTGTGGAAGTTGGACTATGCTTCTCAGAGAGAGGCCTGCTCCAGCTGTCCACAGGAGCCAGTGTTCCCACTGACTTGCCTGCCACCGAGCCTACACTAGCCAGTGTGGGTCTACCTCCACGGGCTCAGATGCCCACGGACCTTCACAAGCATAGAAGCTGCCACACGGACGAAGCTCAACATCTTGGTGACTAAGATTTGGGCCTCTGTGATTGGCCCCTTCCAAGGGAACCTGTGACACACAGTGGACACAGAGCAAGACCTGGAGCCAGCTGCTGTGCCTAGCCTACCCTTGGCTGGACAGCAGCTGGGTTGGCCTGCAGCCCAGAGAAGGTGCTTTCCAGTACACTGCCCAATAAACTGCCTTTTAGAATAAGCTCCCCTTCCCAACCCTCCAGTGCTTCCTGGGGCCTGCCCTGCTGTCCTGCAGAGACTGGCGACTGCTTGCAGCAGCTCCAGAGGTTCTGTCACCAGCACAAGTGACTGTAGAAACAGAACCATGTCTTGCTGAGGGGCAGAAATGGCCTGGGTTTTAGTATGTGTGCACGTGTGTGTGTGCATGTGTGTATGAATGTGTCCATGTATGTACATGTGTGTCCGTGTATGTCCATGCATGTGTCCATGTGTGTATTTGCATCCATGTGCATGTACATGTATGTGTCCATGTGTATGTATGTGTCCATGTGTGTATTTGCATCCATGTGCATGTACATGTATGTGTCCATGTGTATGTATGTGTCCATGTGTGTGTGCATGTGTGTCCATGTGTATATGTGCATGTGTGTGTGCATGTATGTGTCCATGTGTGTGTGTGCATGTGTGTCCATGTGTATAAGTGGATGTGTGTGCATGTGTCCATGTGTGTGTGCATGTACGTGTCCATGTGTGTGTGTGTGCATGTGTGTCCATGTGTGTATGTGCATGTGTGTAGATCAGAAGGCAACCTCAGGGATCATTTCTCAAGGACTTTGCCAACCAAGCTACCTTTCCAGCCTGGGTCTTTTTCTTTTTTACATTTATTTATTTATTTATTTAGTGAGGGCACATGTGCCATGGCATGCAGGTGGAGGTCCGAAGATAACCTGTGGAAGTCAGTTCCTTCCCTCTGCCATGTGGCCCCAGGGATTGAATTTATGTCATCAGGCTTGGCAGCAAGAGTCTGCACCCACCAAGTACCTCCCCATATGTCCCAAACCACCCAAGACCCCCCACCGCCTTTATTGTATGTGCCTAGGTTGGGGAACATGTCATGATGCTTAGATGTGGAGACGAGAGGCCATCTTCTAGGGATGGCTTCTCTCCATCCATCACTGTGGCTTCTAGGAATTGAACTCAGGCTTGTGCAGCAGGTGTGGTTACTGCTGTCCTGCCAGTCTTCAGGGCCCTGAACTGGAATTCCGTGTCCTGACATAGCCAGAAAAGAATCCAGGTTGCCCTGACAGTCCTCCCCTCTGTATTCCAAGCCTGACCTGGGTGAGCCCACAGTCAGGGAGATGACAGGTCCTGGGCCACCTCGGTAAAGTAGAGTTGCACCCACTTCATGGTGTTCAGTGAAGGGTTAGAGTGTGTGCCAGCTCTGTACTGAGCTAGCTCTCCCACTTTGCCTCCTTATACCAGTGACTGTGGTAGGCCTTACCCTTGGGCCAAGGAGTTCACTGAAGAAGCCAGGGTACTGGGTGAGACTACCAAAGGCCACTGCAGTAGAAGCAGTCAGGGGAGGCTCGCTCAGGTTATGGTAATAAAGCCCCAATCACCCCCTAAGAAAAGTGAAGCTATAGATCTCTAGTGGGGATCCTGGGGAGGGCGGGCACCTCTGGAGGGAGCTGAAAGAGCAGCAGGTAGAGAGTGGGCAACTCAAGGGTGTGTACTGAGGCTGGCAGTACTCAAAGAGCAGACAGCAGAGGGAGATGAAGGTATGGGGATAGGTTTAGGTGGGTACCTGAAAGGGTGGCCCAGCAGTGGCACACTGCTAAAGTCAGTGTTCCTGAGTGGTTGGGTTGGGCTGCAGAGAAGTTAGGAACAATAATTTTTTTTTTAAAGATTTATTTATTTTATTTATGAGTACACTGTCGCTGTCTTCAGACACACCAGAAGAGGGCATCAAATCTCATTACAGATGGTTGTGAGCCACCATGTGGTTGCTGGGATTTGAACTCAGGACCTCTGGAAGAGCAGTCAGTGCTCTTAACCACTGAGCCATCTCTCCAGCCCCGGAACAATAATTTTTATATGGAGACAGGGTCTGAACTTTGGTGTAGCTGAGGGCAGCTTTGAACTAATCATCCTGTTTGTACCTCAAGTGTTGGGGTTACAGGTGGCAGCCGCCATGCCTAGTTTTCTATGACACTGGGCACCAGGCCTTCCTGCATGCTAGGTAAGCGTTTTACCCACTGAACTACACATCCCTAGACCTCTGCATTTTATTTCTGTCCTGAGTCTTGGATTGGTGTGTGTGTCAGGAGACAACTTGCAGAAGTCCGTCCTCCCTTTCCACCGTGTGGGGCCCAGGGATTGAACTCAGGTCGTCAGTGTCTGTAGCAAGCAAGCACCTTTACCAGCTGAGCCATCTTGCTGGTACTCCATGTTGGCTTACAGACAATTCCTCTAGGCTCCACGCAACAACTCGCATACCGCCTGCCAGGTGCGAGCCAGGCATATAAGGACTCCTCGGTTATCCCAACTCTCTCTGCCTCTCTCTCCATTTCCTATTCTCTCTCCCCTCTCTCCTTCACTCCCTACCCACATGTTCTTAGGTAGCCTCTTCTCTCCCTGTCCTCCTCTGTCCCCTCTTTCTGTCTCTACTGGGTCCCAGATCCCCTTCCCTGTCTCCGCCAATACATTTTCTTTACACTAGGTCTGTTGCATGGCTTGACTGTTCAGGAGTACACCTTGGCTGGGCCCGCCAAGTTGCTCCCTCCCGCCGCATTATACCGCCGTTTTATAAAGCAACACCTCCAGCTCTCAATATATAACCCTGGCAGGTCACTCTGTGGGCCAGGCTGGCCTCAAAGTAACAGAGATCTGCCTGCCTCTGCCTCCTACCCGAGCGCTGGAATTAAAAGCACGAGCCACCAAACCCGGGTGTGAAGACTCTTTTAATCACTAACCTGTCCCTTGGCCATCCACTGTTTCCGGCCTGGCCAGAGCCTATTTTCCTCACCTTATTGCTCCCTAGAGATAAGGGCCTGCTTCCGAGCCCTTTAGACCAATGACAGACGAGGAAGTGACCCCTATCTGGTCCAAGTAGTGGGAATTGCGTCCTGTGGGAATGGGCTGGCTGGTAAGGACCAACAGCACAGGAAACAATAAAGTCTAGAGACGCTCGAGGAGAGTTTGAGAGCCGCGGCGGGAGCTGTCCCGGGCAGAGGCAAAGGGCGCCAGGCTTTATTGATTGGCAGCAGCTATGGAGCTGTCTCTCCTAGATTGGTCCTTTTCCATGGGGGAGGCGGAGCCTCAAGTGCATTTCGCCAATAACGTACGGAGAATCGGCCTCCGAAGGCCCACTTCCGGCGGCGTTCCCTGCTTCTCAGTCCGTCGCCGCCGCGGCATGGGCCATGGGGCCACGGAGTACACGGACCACTTTTGTTGGCGCCCCACCGCTGCGAGCGGCCATTGGGCGGCCGCGAGGGACGCTTCCGGTGTCCAGGTGCTGGCTTCTCTCGCTGGAAGATGAAGATGGATCCTCGCCTCGTCGTTCGTGCCTGGTCCCTCTGCGGGCTGCTGCTGACCGCGCTTGGCTGCGTCTGCGCCAGCGGCCCCCGCACCCTCGTGCTGCTGGACAACCTGAACGTGCGGGACACGCACTCATTGTTCTTTCGCAGCCTGAAGGGTGAGCACGGCGCCGAGGGCACGCACGGCCCGAGTTGGGGCGGAGACGGCGGCACCCTCCGAGGGCTGCAGCAGGGGTCCCTCTCCTGATCGTCTGCCCCGACTTCCTGTTTTCTTTTCCTCCAGACCGGGGCTTTGAGCTCACCTTCAAGACCGCAGATGACCCCAGTTTGTCCCTCATCAAGTACGGGGAATTCCTCTATGACAACCTCATCATCTTTTCCCCGTCGGTGGAAGGTAAGGGCGCGCGTCGCCCCTAGAACTAGGATTAGAGGGCTTAGGAGACGGTTGTCTTCTTGTTCCTGGACATGATCTGGGTCTTGGGGTGAGTTGCGAGGTATTGTAGAGGAAAATGTTAATTACAGCTTGGGCCTTAGAGATTTCATCTGTCCAAAAGATACAGCCAAGGATAGATAGTCAGATGTCACTTGGCTTAAGGAGAAGGGGGTTTTCTCTAACACAGGTCTTGAAAAAGAAGCTCTTGGTTTGACTTGCTTGTGTACAAAGAATTGTCACGTTATTGACATGGATCGCTGTAAAAAGTCATTCTGCAGGTGGCAGATCATAAGGATACAGATACATACATACGCATCGTTGAGTCCTGATGGATAAGTGCACACTTCTGTGGACAGGTAGAATCGGGTCACCTACTCTGTCACACTCCTCCTGACTCTCTTAAGACAGCGTCTCTCACAGTATCTGAAGCTGGCCATTTTGACTAAGCATGCTGGCCAGTGAGCTCTCAGGAGCAGTCTCTGCTTCCTAATGATTGGGTTATAGGCACTACTCTTCATTCCACCAGCCCTCAGAGACTTTTGAATGGAGTGAATATCTCTAACTTACACTTAACTATTTCTGTCTTACAAGGCAGTTCGTTCCACCACTGGACTGAGCTGAAATTTGTCTCTCTATCCTATGTGTATATTTGGAGAAGTGTTCTCAACTCCCTTGGGCTTGAGAGTCTGGTGTCCCTGACTGAGAATAGATGACAGGAGAGTCTCACTTTTATCTTACCCATAGCTTTAGCGTCCTTAGACGTGTCTTCACCTGACTAGCTATCTCCAGTTCCTTTGGCAATTTCTTTTAAGAAAATCAACTTTTTAAAAAATAACATTTAGTTATTTTTTTTTATGTACATTTTGATTGCATGTATGTCTGTGTGAGGGTGTCAGATCCTCTGGAACAGGAGTTACAGATGTGCTAGGAATTGAACCCAGGTCCTTTGGAAGAGCAGCCAGTGCTCTTAACTGCTGAGCCATCTCTCCATCCTGACAATTTCTTATGTATGTATGTATGTATTTTATTTTATTTGGATTTTTTTTTTGTATGGGTGTTTGGCCAGCATGTATGTCCCACCATGTGTATGCCTGAGTGTGTCTTACCATGTGTATGCCTGAGTGTGTCCCACCATGTATATGCCTGAGTGTGTCCCACCATGTGTATGCCTGAGTGTGTCCCACCATGTATATGCCTGAGTGTGTCTCACCATGTATATGCCTGAGTGTGTCTCACCATGTGTATGCCTGAGTGTGTCCCACCATGTGTATG